TTGTCTAAGTGCGAGTTAATCACACTGCTGATCAGCCACTCGTGGCCGACCGTTATGCTGATGGTTCTCGGCTTTTCAGCATAGATTGGCTTTACTTACAGGACGAAATCCCACAAAAATCCCAAATCTCTTCACACTACTAACAGTTATTGATTTAGTTGAAACATATCAAAAGAAGCAAAATTGTGCGTGCTAGAAGCATGGATTTTTGTTTCAGCAATCGCGCGTGATTCCTACTCGAAGTGTGTGTCAAACCGCGGATCTCATTAAGTTGATAACATTTGAAAGCAAATCTGATGAGTTAACCCCTTTTCATTGGTTCTCATGCCCAGATTTCTGACGTCCCTCGGATCATATCAGAAATGGCTAAGTTAGTCTCTTACTTGACCATGCATTTCCTGGCTCTTCTTTATAGTGTTCTTTTTAGTGTCTTATCACAGCAGAATGCCTAACCAATATTCTAGAATGCAAAGTGTAGGCACGCTCATTGTCAAAAGTGAGCAGCATAGCTGTTGATCTTCCGAGTTGAAATCGAATAGCCAAGTATAATGGCCACCCTCGCTTCCAACCTGATTAGACGGACCTTGAGTCTCCATGGTGAACAGATAGGGTCTCAAAAGGAATCTGCCTTAATTCCTCGGCCAGCAGGTTCACTCGCTTACAGAAACCCAGACTTATTATGGATAGCTAGTTTGGTGGACTGATGCCGAGACATTCCGGATGTATAGTTAGCTGAATTTTCTGAGTTTTGCTATTTGCATAAAATATCAATTAAGTTGTTCTGCGCCCGACACTACAAGGAAACCTGATTCACTAGCGCCTTGTATCATACACTGGTGATTCTCAGAGGGCAGCAACCCTCTCTGGGCGCCTCTGTCAGTTTGCTCACAAACCTAAATAGATCAACGGTTGTCCAACACACGAGCATTGAGAGGAGCTGCGGACGGCCGAAGCAGATGTTCTCGCATCGTTATTTCAGACTTTAGTACTATTTTTTTATTCACCTAACTCAGCTTCTCTCCTCCAAAAGCCTCAAAGTCAGTCAGTTCTGCCACTTTTACGCGGTTCATCTACAGATAATGAGCAGTATACTCACATTAATAGGACAATCTCAATATATCGATGACATTCGAGTGTGATGGGATTCAGTGAACTGTTCTGTTACCATCTATTTTTGAATTTTTCACAAGTTCTTTTTGTCCTAAACAATCACACATATTTATCAAATATGACAATGATATAGCCGTTAGCAGGGAATATTCTGTGGCCGCGAATGTAAACTGTTGTGTTAGGAGGTTGTGTTTACAATTCAACAACATATGGATGACTTACAACTACTACCACTCTCTCTCTCTCCAACTATTATGGGTGGTTGCTTCCAAGTGCAATTAAATATTTCGAAGTTGAATTAGCCTCTGATGGGTCTTGGCACGATCATGTGGAAGACATACTTCTAAAGATTCCTGTGCCCGAACTTTCCATACAGTTTTTGGCTCCACATATTCTCTTTTCTGTTTGCCCTTTCCTAACTGCAATAACGCACTGTCCACACCACCCTCAGAAGCTCTGTTACAATGTCTTCCTCCGGTTGTGTGTAACCCATTGGAAACTTAATAACTTCACACGGCAGTACTTGTTGAAATCGTTGTGTGATCCTGCACAATCGATTATAATCTTTCAGTTGTAACACCCATTCGGTACCTAACTGCCGTGCCACCCCAAGCACGAGGGCTGATATACTGCCACGTTGCCTAAGACTAGACAGAGGAGGCCGGGATGCAGAGGTCAGTTTCGAACCACGGACTTTCCGGTCAGAAAACTTGCGCTCCAACCACTTGAGCCATCTCGTCCCAATTCTTTGTATCTTATACACACTGAACTACTACTAATAAAATTCCGAAAACAAAAACCTTCTGGTGCCCCAAATTTAACTGCACACCGTGGTTCACAAGTCTTAGTATTCAGCTCTGTAATCAGAGTGTTCCCAAGCGGCGTTGTGATTTTTTGCCCGGCTTTTCCCAGCAGTTCCACAAAGGACAGCTGAGCACCATTCCTGTTTCTTCACCGTATTTCCGGCGGGATAATGCACTGTGAGGGGAAGTCAACCATACAGGTGATTATGAACTCTCGTATGAATTCCGATCGTAACTGTATTTTTGGCACATGGGTGAACCGAGGAATATTCAAAATGAAAACCGCCTCGGTGCTCAAACGGGCCATACTCCATTGCTTTTGTTGGGAAAATCAACAAAAAACGGCGAAAACATAATGCGATATCTCGAAAATCGTACCAATCAAAACATGAGAAAGCCTTTGTGCAGCACATTCAGTTGTAGAATAGCATAAACGAGAGATTCACTTGAGTCTCTCGTGAAAACCAAATTGATTTGCAAATAAGTGTATTTCTCGAAAACAGTGCAATTCGGGTTCAAGTAGATCATAAAGTTGACGGAAACTCGGGGACTGCGCCTACCTGATGAGCCCCAAGAAGAGCAAAACCGGTCGTGGGCTGTCGAAGAATGTTCAGCAACCTTGTGAGTAGTTTCCTTTACGAAAATATACTGCGATATCTCGAATGACGTGCGTCATGAAAATATACTGCGATATCTCGAACGACGTGCCAACTGAAACATGAGGCGGTCTTTGTGCAGCACATTCAGCTGAAGCATATAATAAAGGAGAGATTCAACTGAGTCTCCATGAAAACCCACTCCATGTGTGAATGAGTCTATTTGTCGCAATTTCTGAGTTCTTTTGGAAAACCAATGTATCTTAACTACTTTAAACTGTAAGTCCCAATTTAGCTGAAAAAGTCACAAAGAAAGTCACGAATACACTGTCACCCTCTGGCACTGAAATCGTCTCCTAGCATTTCTCGCTGAGGAGCGTGCTTTGGATTTATGCCACCTTCAGCACGTGCCTCTAATAGGAATTCCACCAATTACTGAGTGACAGAATACTCATCCATGATGGTGACAAAGTTGATGGAAACTCGATGGCTGCGCCTACGGGATGAGCCTCAAGAAGAGAGAAAACGGTCTTGGGCTGTTCAGCAACCTTTTGAGCAGTGTGTTAAGTCTATTGCGATATCTTTAATGTTGTGCCAGGTGAAACATGAGGCGGCCTGGTGGAGTACATTCAGTTGCTTACGAACATCATAAACCAGAGGCTCAGCTGAGTCTCTCGTTAAATTAAGTTGGTATGCAAATGAGTGTATTTCATTACTAAAGTGTTTGCACCTGTCAACAGTTCTAAGGAACTTGAACATCACAGACCCTCAACTATTTCAGTATACTTGGGACATTTTGATCCTGGTGCAGTCGATATTCATTCAAGAATCACTGCGTCATCTCAGAAGCCCAAAGAAAACAAAGCATCGTGTAGACAAATGTATTCTTCCTTGTGCATAAATCTTCATAATTTCGGATCATTTTCGCTCTAGGTAATTTTCCGTTTAACTACCAAAAAGCCTAATTTTTCCAACAGAATTACTTCTAGTGACCCGCAAGTTTGTACTTTCAACCTGATGAAGATATAATAGATTGGAGAGGCTTTGTAAACTGAGGCACTATCAAGTAAACGTTAACTTTTTGTGAAATTTCCATAAAGATTTTGTCCTATTTTTCTGACAAAAAACAGCTGTAGAAATGTTACAAAAGCTGATTGGACGACAAGCAGGTAACCTCAGTGAATAAGGTCAAATAACTTGAATTCGGAATTAGTAAATGAAGAACTGGAAATAGTGCTGTCTTTCCTGGAGTTTCCCCTACTTTTCAGTATCAGTATCACCTGCACAGTATCACCTGTGCAGGTTATAAATCTCCAGTTGTGTCAATGAATGGAATAAAAACTGTGTGGGTTTGTACGAGGTTGTATTGATTTGTTGCGCTGCGAAATAAAGCTCCAATGAACTATACCTGTTTGCAAATTACATTGGTGTTGCCGACAAACCCAACCTCTTGTCTGTGATGTTCTTCAAGTGACCATGCCCAGAATGTTCAGTTCGCACGATATTCGATTAGCCAAAGCAAACTTCATTGATGGGACTGTTAAGGCTACATTGCGTGCAATTTGACGTTCAAGTAGAAAGGGAGCTTGATGGACACTCTGAGACCAACCCTACCTGACGTACTCCGGGAAGAGCAAAACGGGTAGCCGGTTGTCAGCGTCTTCCGCAACCCTGTTAGCAGTTCGTTTTGTCAAACAAATAAATTCTCACATTCACATCAGTCTTGTTTGAACAGTCGTCCTCCTGTCCTGGAGCAATTATTCTGGTGAATCCACACCAAAGAAGGGAAAAACTGGAATCGATTCTCGCTCTTATTAGAGCACACCAGCAGTGCATATCCAATGGATGCGCCGGGTGTCGAACTCTGGACACCTAACATGCAAGGGAAACATGTTACCACTACTCCAGCGCATGTGGGACGCATCTGAATTCTCACGTCTGAACGGAAGAACTTTTTCACGCTTGAGCGATGTAATTGGTATGCCCGACTCATCATCCATACGACGACCCCGGTTGTGACGATCGATTGGCCCGCTTGTCAGAACTTCCTAGTCCGGTAGCGCCACAGACTCTTGAAACCCGCTGGACAAATTTTGTTGATGCATGTTGATAAATGCAGCAAATAAATTTTCCTTAGTTAGCGAAGGTCAGTATGTTTTGCGTGGTGACATTCTGAAATAAGAAGCTGCGGATGCGTTGGGGCACAGCCATTGATTTGAACAATAGCACGCAAGTGCTTCTCGCCTGTACACATTGTCATCCAAATGTATGAAATCCAGGCATTTGATCCAGCGTCTCTGCTCTGCCCTGTCGCACATGGTGTGAAATTATTCTTCCTCTGAGCTACTCATGTATTGACAGTAGTGTGAAGAAACTTTGGAATTTACAATAAAAATCGACTGAAAATCCCACACTACCAACGATTGATGTTTGCTCACTACTAACAGTACGCCAGTTCAACAAACATGACTGTTTTAGAGCTCATGTGCAATCATGTGGTGGTCAGAAAATGAAGCTTCCGACAGTTTCGTTTTTTCTGGTTATGATTATGGCTGGATATATGGGCCAATATTGCCTTGATGGTGGTTAGCGTTTCTAAAGTGAAGAAAAATTGATCAGCTGCAGCACCTTTTTGGCGCCTGCCATGCCACCCGAAGGAGGCACGAGGGCTGGGATACTGCCAGGTTGCCCAAACCTAGACAGGGGAAGTCGAGAGGCAGAGGTCGGGTTTGAACCACGGACATTCCGGTCAGTAAATTCGCGCCCTAACCACTTGGGCCATCTCGCCACGAAATTAACAGAGCCAACCCCCTCAACAAGGTGATTTGTGTGTCTAGCAGTACTTTCTAGCCTCCTCATTGGAGTTTCTCCCCAGATGGTACACTTTCCAGTCGTGTCCTGTTAGTGTACTCCTCCTTAAAGGAAACTGACAGAAGTACACACTAAGTGAGGCAAACCGTTTGGAATACCTCGACGGACAGGGCCAGCAAAAGTAAACAATACTTTGGGACCAACTAAGTGCTCAAGAAAAGCTACGAAATAGCAACAAGTGGGCATATTCTATGCCAGATTGGATGGTAAAACTGATTGACTAAATCTGGGAATCCTACTTCTTGTTGTAACGGTTTCGACACTTATGCCCAGTTCATAAAGGTCACGCTCCCTGTGTAGGTTTGTAAGCAGACAGAACAAGTGACTTCACCTCTCACCTAGTTGAAGTGTGAAAGCAACCTTTTGGTATCTCCAGACTATGGGTACAAATGATTCACCAACTGGTTGAAAGAATACAATACATAAGGTCATATGCTTTAATTACACAAATAACCCAAACTACTCTGTCCGACTGTGCCCCATCGGCCATACTACAAAAAAGTCTGGAATCGAATTTTCAGGACCTTACCTCACCTTTTTCCCATGAGTATGTCATGACATTTCTCATGAAAATACCCGATTTCATCCAACGTGGGACTTGAAATGGACCTTTATTCCTTCAGCGATGATTCGACGTTGACTCAGGATGCCCTGATAGATGTTCAGTGCACCTGGCCCCATACCAAAAGTAAGACCTCTTCTATTAGCTAAAGTCCTCATCAAGCTACTATATCTCCATAAATACCATCAAGGGCTCTGTAACTTCGTCTGAAAAAGTCTTTTGCAAAATCACGTAGAATACTTCAGGATGTCTTAGCATAAAGATCATGAAGAATGTTGTGATAAATTTGAGTACATTGGTACATGCAAAGTTGTTTGCCTCTTAGTTTTTTCCGCTCCAACAAAGGATGATATCACGCGTTGCCGACGAATAGGAGTGACACAGCATTATGACAGTGATGTCGACTACAGCGCTGATCAAACAGGTGAACATGAGATACTTTTGTCGTCCGATTGCTTGATATGAATTCATTGTCTGTTATAAACCAGGTACAATGTCCGATGAATGGGACCCGCATAGCCTAGTCACTTCTTTGTTCTGAGCACAATTAGAGCTGATCGCGTATGTCTTCTAGTGGGGACGCTAAAGAAATCAGTTTAGGGCCAGTTGAGAAAAGCTGAACCGATCTTATGAAAAGTTTTCGCTGTTGCAACCAATCATAACTGACTAACAGGACAGACATCATCATCATCATCACCATCCTCATCATCATCATCATCATCATCATCATCATCATCAGCATCATCAGCATCATCATCATCATCGTCATCAAGAACAGCATGACATCAGTGTCCAACACCGATACTCCGTTGCCGTACACAGAATAGCTAGATATAATGGAGAGCGAGTGGTAATCTATCAAGTGTATATTTGCTCTAAATGCCAGACGTACAGCAGTATACGCATTCTTAAATCGAACATCGTTGTACTCGGCGAATTTCACATTGTAACCACGGTACTCCGTGAGAGTAAACCAGTTGAATTCCTGAATTAAACTTGCTTTGCAGGAATTTCTATTTCCGTCTGCACCTGATCACGTGGGGGGGAGTTGAGGTATTTCCTGTGCACCGATAGACTGTTCTGTCTAAACTGTGTAATGTTTTGCTTTGTGTGAAATGTTGTGGTACACGAGTGTACTAGTCATTCAGTCAATCGGAACATGGCGTTCACCTAAATAAAGAAAGCTCATTCTCTTGTGAACTCGAAGTCAGCTGCTTCAGGTACTCAGTTATAGATAGTGAGCAACAAATCGGTGTGTTCCAGTCAGAACAGGATGCACTTCATGAAGTAGAAAGTTCAATCATGCAATACGTTGATTAGTCACAGCTTGTAGGACATGGTAATAGCGTTCTGACCTTGAAATACTTCCCTATTCAGGAAATCAACAAAAAGGTGAAAAAGTTGACACCTGAACTTTTCTTGGATCAATTGGTTAGTTTATAAAGAAACATATTCTGTATGTTACCACTTGGATATATGTTTCGTTAGTTTATAAACTGGATGGAATATGATCTTTTCATAACGGTTAATGCTGTTTGAACCGAAAAGTCCGGATATGGAAGGGAAAGATGACTAAAGAATCACCACAATCTTACCTTTTCTGTGTTTGAGTTATCACTACAATCAAGTTGTTGTTGTCCGTGAGAATCGCACTACTTAAGAACTCCAATAACAATGCAGCCACTATACAGTTCTCCTCGATTTTTCAGCACAGATTGGCACAGTCTATTAGCAACTCGGAGAAAGGAAAATTTTACAAGATGAGTGAAGCTTCCGCCTGAGAAGACCACTTGAGGAGGCAGTCAACACACAACCGCGTGATGTGGTTTCCGCGATTGAAGAACGCATCGTACAGAGGACCCATCTTGTTAGCATGATCATACCTCGAATCGAAATCGTTCAGCTGTAACACCTTTTCGGTGCCTAGCTGCCATGCCACCCGGAGGAAGCACGAGGGCTGGGATACTGCCAGGTTGCCCGAGCCTAGACAGGGGAAGTCAAGAGGCAGAGGTCGGGTTCAAGCCACGGACCTTCCGGTCAGTAAATTCGCTAACCACTTGGGTCATCTCGCCCCATGATCATACCTCAGCATAATTGTCTGAGTGGAGGGCAATGTGGCCAGAACTGTGAGAAACTGCTCAGTCCCCTGTGACAGGGTTGGTATTTTGTCGGTCAAACCAGCGGTGATTCCAAGGAACCGGATCAACCCGGATGTTTTCGAGAAAACTGAGTTAAAGGAAAACAGGAATACTGGACAAATATTCGACAAATAGTCAGATTGGTTTTCTCGAACTAGCAGTCGAGTCTCTTGTTTTCAGCAGCCTCATGAGAAGTGTGGTACGTCTACACCACCCAAGTATATTTGCCTCTGCAACGCAATGATACGGAAGAACGAATTTAGTGCAGAGTACTATGTACTGCTCTCACCGAGTCTGAAAATGGAATTTTTCCAGTAGTAAAGTTCAGGGGGGAGGAAACTCAATCGACCAAACAATTCTGGTGGAACGGAATCTTTTCCGGTCAAACTTCATTTAAAGGGAACAACCCCTAGAATGAAAGAGGACACGCATTTATTGGAAGAACTAGCTTCAAAGTGAAAATAACTGAATAGGAGGGTCCCATGTTATTGGTCCAGTGCGGGTCACCATTTCAAAAGTTCTATATCATTACTAACCCACTGGTGAACCGATCTTGATGTCCGATAACATCGTGGGACAATTTATTGAAACAATTCCCGGCTACAATACTGATGAGAAGGAATAAAGTTCAAGAATCGGTCGAAGCAACCCAATATAATTCAACTTTTCATAAGGTCTTCCGAAAAGCCCGAAAAGCTTTATTCATCAACAAAGATCCATCTTTGTCAAAAGTACCGTATTTAATCGACACACTTGATTGCGGTTGGACGAAATACACCCAAGACTCCCAGTAGATTGGGACTGAGGAACATTATAGCAATATTAATTAAGAACGCAACACGGGGAAGGGGTCCTCTTGGTCCCTCCTGTGGATGGACAACCCTCTGGTTTTCGTCACCCTATATTGGGAGGAATTCGTGGAAAATATTTAGGCAGAATCCAAGAAATACTTCCCGCCGACAAGATATTTGCTATTCATCAGGGGTCTGTTTCCTGCTACAAATATCCACACCGAATATCTCTCACGATGAACAGTTGCCGCTTCAAACAATAGACTGCTTCAGTTACTTAATGACATAAAGGACCTCGGTACCACCATCTGTGGTTTCTTTCTTGGCTTGACTTTTTTGAAACATCTCGTTCGAACCACTAGCCTTCCTAATTCAAGCGGCTTCGAAGTCCATTTCAGTGAGAATAGAATCATAAACCAAATTGGTTTACAGATGAACGTTTCGCTAATTTCGTGCAATTAGGGTTCCATTAGAACATAGGGTTGATGGAAACTCGGAGACTGTGCCTACCTGATCAACCCCAAGAAGGTCAAAACCGATCGTGAGCTGTCGAAGGATTATCAGCAAACTTATGAGTAGTGTATCACGCCTATAAAGGTTTAAAAACTTTTACGTTAATAATAACCAGATTCTCTGATGAACGGCGTGCACACAATCCCCATTAGTTTGTAACAGCCTTTGTCACTTTTCAGGGAACATTGTGAACTCCGCCGATGTCTTCAAACAATGCACCCCTGTTATCCTTGTCTGATCGCCACGAGTAACGATATCGCGTAAGCTGAATCTATCTCCATCCTTGTCAGTGTTGTGCAAAGTGGATTATCGCGCGTGCCAATATGCTACTGAATTGAGTTCAAGTAGAAAGTTTGTATTATGAAATTTCGTCCAACACGCACCACGAAGAGAAGTTCGATGACATTTTCCAACCAGTTTCGATTCGTCCTTTCTGTCTAAAGTCAACATTATTCTCCATACAGTCACGCGGGCACCCTGTTATACAGCGTTTTTTTTCTTGTATTAACTCGGTTTACTTTCTTCTAACTCGAAGTGTTTCCACAGGTCTGTAGAGATCGGATTTAGAGGCTGATATATTGTCTCGGTAGTGAAGCGTCATGAAAGACAAAGCTGTCGTATTTTGCAAAGTCCCTATCGATGCCATTCCAGATTACAACTGATTACAACTGCGCCTACAAGACCCAATGGAATGAAATGTGAACAGCACGCAAGATACTGTCCACGAACAAAGGACCAGTCATTCAGATGAGCTCCGAAATTCCAACGCGTCATTGACAGAAGCGATTGAACCCTAATCCCACTCATGAACTGGTATCTTCTTGTAAGCGTGCAGGCTTGCGTCGATAATGGTGTTCTTTTTAAATAAAATTCCCACAGGATAAAAGGGGA